TAAAAACCGAGAAGGCTTAATGTTAACTCTGTAATCAATATCTTTATGGTTATTCTGATGATTGCTAGTGTTAGTTAGTACCGTTATTGATCTTCTTCATGCTCTTATTATTCTGACAAGATCTGAAAAGTCTAACTCAAGCCAAACATGTGAAGGTGGAGAGCCTCATCCAGCTCCATCAGCCGAGCCTGGCGGCACACGCGGCGCTCAACACTAAGCCCTTGCTCGTAAGCATTAACCAAAATCCCTGAAACCGAACAATCAAACTCTTCGACCAACACAAGCAAATCGAAACCCAAGCTGTAACTCCCAACCACCCTTCCCTAAACAAACGTAACTCTGACGTATTTTGGGATCTAACTGCTTAGGACTTAAGGTGTAGGGTCTCAGGGCCAAGGTGTTAAGGTATCGTTTGTTGGATAATACAGGGGCCTTATAATTAGAACTAGTTGAAGGCCTTTTCCTTAATTAAGGGGTATTGGAGTCTCTGGGAGAGAATTGGTCAGGCTTGTCAGTTGCGCACTCGCAGGTCCAGGGGTGTTCACCCTTCAAAACCTGTGTACAATGCGGGTCTTGGACCCTAAACCCTAAACCCCTAAACCCTAAACCCCCAAACCCTAAACCCTTGGACCCTATAGACCCTAGAAACCCGAAACTTGCAATTTTTTATAATCTTTAAGTCGCCAGTATATGGCCAAGGCCCGTCGTTCTAGGGTTCAGGAGCTTGTGGATTTCGGGAGTATGAGGAGTAATGTTGAGGCCTGGGGCTTAGGGATTTTTAGTAAGGGAGACGGGGCTTCGGATTCAGAGTTTCAAGTTTATGGCTAATAGTGTAGGGTCCAGGTTTAGGGTTTAGGGTTTAAGGTTTAGGGTTCACGGTTTCTCAGGGTTCGGGTTCAGGGTTTTGACAATCAGGAACCGTGTTCGCGGGACTTCGTTTGTAGGGTACCGTTTTGATAGGCGCACCGGCTACCTGGAAAGTTTTGTGGGCTGTAGGATGGAGAACCGTAAGTAGGACGTCATCAGGCAGCTAACAGACGAAGCACTAGAAACCTCCAAAACATCCTAAGCAACGACTATCAAGCCGTATAGCAACGTCAATACCCTGTAACAGTCTCCACTGAACCCTAAAACCCAAACCGTAAACCGCTAAACCCTAAACACCCTTCATCACGACCCAGTAAACTCTTTTATAGATCTCTCCCAACCGCTTCGCCCAAAAACCTCACAGCCCAACAGAGCCGCCCTCAAAAAGCAAATTGTAGAGTTTGGGGTTTAAGGTTTAAAGATGTGGAAGTTGGAGTGTGGCGCTGATTTCTGACATTTTCGAACCCCAAGCCTGCTTCGGTTGCGAGCGTTTTTTTTATGCACGGCGATCGAGTGCCAGACGTGATGCGCAAACAGCGCTTCGACGACTGAGCATGACTACTCAGGGCTTCCTTCGTTCCACTACTTTCAGGAACATCTGTCGGTATTGTGGGCTTTGGTCATTGCAAAAGCGCACAGGACAGACTGGCAAGGAGCATACATATGTAACGAAACTTACGATTATGTGTGTGCACATGGTTTTTATATCTAAGTGCTTGTTGAAATTGGTATGTATGTATGTATGTATATGTATGTATATGTATGTATATGTATGTATATGTATGTATATGTATGTATATGTATGTATATGTATGTATGTATGTGTATATATATATATACATATATATATATGTATGCATATACGCACACAAATCGTACAGTGTGTGCACACTAGCATTATAGCACAATATATGATACAATATTACATGATTCAATATAGTATAGCTGATATTCTAGCCCAGGATAGGATAATAAAACATAAGATAAGGTTTGATAGCACACTGGACTGTACCGTATCATAAGCTGATGGAGTAATATTGTACAGTCCAACGCACTATGGGTTAAAATAGAAGAGAGTATGAACTGTTATAATACGATATAGTGAAGTACATTTTGATAACAAGCCAAATGTCATGTAATATTTTGCTACATGCTACTGTACTAGGCTGAACCCTTTTTATAATATAATGTTTCATACTCTGTTATTGTAAATCAACTGTTGTATGGGATAATGTATTAAACTATATTCTGCCATATTCTACTGTTATATTATGTTAAACTATAATCCATTCCCTTATAGTCGCTTGTATTGTAGCACACCATGTGTGTGTATGTGGGTATGTGTATGTGGGTATGCGTATGTGAGTATGTGAGTATATCTGTATGTGAGTAATTGTGTGGATATGTGAGTATGTGAACATGTACATATATTCAGGAGAGAATATGTGACGTTTCGAATATGTGAATACGCGAGTATGTGAATTTGTGAACGGGTACATGTATATGCGTGCATATGTATATGTTTTGTCAAGCATCATCTTTGATTACAGAATGTGCATTGTACAGATGTACACCCTTTCAAGTAAATTAACATGTCTGCATGCCCCGGCTCTTTCGCGTGCAGGAAGAAACAAGGCTGAAGCACTCGGGAAGTTGACTCGGCGTGTACAAACTTTCCTGTAAAATGTGACAAAAAGAAACTCTTTCAGGCTTTCCAAAAGGACCTCAACAAGGGCTTCTAAGGCTTCCTTCAGGTTTTCTTTCAAGGTAAGGTTCCCAGGACGACACGCCACGCCTGCTACAGTAGGGATGCAAGCCTCAGCTTTGGAGGCTCGTGGCTCAGGATTAAGCGCCCTAAACTCTAATCCCTAAACCGGCATAAGTCCTGAAACCTGCGAGCTGTGCGTGTACCATAAAGTTTGTCATCAAGTTAGCCAGGCTATGCAACCGCCAGCTTTAACATAATATCAGGGGACCTAATGGCTAGTATAGGGTTTTGGGGCTTATTACATTATGACTATAATGAGGAACCCCCCGAAATAGTATTGGCAATGATTTGGGCCCCTGTGTTACCACATAGAACCCTGCGGTTTGCGCTCGCAGCATCAGTCGCTGGTGAGGACTAAGGGCGTGCGAAGGTGGCCTGGGGTGTCCGGTTTTGGGTGCGGAGATCCAAAGTATAGGCTTTCGGATGGAGTTTTATGAAGGTCCAGCCTTCAGGGATTAAACTACGTGGTTTGTCCGCGCTTCGGGTAAGGGCTTCTCTATTTAGAGAATAGGCTGCCAGTGGTCTAGATTTCAGGGGTGCAGGCTTCAGGGGTCTTGCATCTAGGATGTACGGATTCAAGGTCTGTTTTGGGGATCTTGTTGATGAGCGGTCTGAAGATTTTCGTCCAGCCTTATCACCGCAGGAAAAGGAAACACGCCTGCACCCTCCAACGTAGCATTAATTTATGGCGCAGCCTGGTTCGTAGCATAAATAGATAAAGGTACCTTAAATCAGAAGTTCGTAGCGCAAATCTTGCTACACGTGCGTTTCCCGAATGAACGAGCGTTTTCGGGAGTTTGAGTGTGATGCTGAAAGCAAACACCTTGCAACCGCAGTGCTGGCTATGATCTTAGCAGTATTGTGTGCTCTGGGGGCCACGAGCCCCTTTCTTTCTGGAAAGCCTTCCGATTGCTTCCACGTGCGCCCCCCTCCCGCTGGTCTGTGCATATGTATGTAGATGCCACCATCCACCAGCGAAGAGTAGCCTCAGCTGCTTCAAGAGGTACATGATCGGACTACGAACCTCGAGTCCTTGAGGCCAGCTGCTTTGGGGTCAAGGGATCGTGCTGGATTGGCTTGATTAACACGTCGGGCAAGTCGCATATTTCTGATGATACATGCTTGTGGCTCTGCTGGGCTCTGCAGGTCTCGTAGGTTTGTTGCTTGGCATTTTGCCAGCAACACAATGGGCTCTCCTGTAGTGCAGTATTGGCTTTCCAATGCCGTACTCTCGAATCGGGGGGCGGCTGGGTGCCTCACGTTGATTGCTGGAGAATCACTCAGCAGAGGTGATTGCATTAACAATGCTCAGTGCATAATCCCGATTCTGCGATTCCACGGCATGCGTCCCTCCGTGGATGCGATCGCACAAGATGTCCATGCCTTCTTCCAGATGTCAAGACCACGGTCAAAACCAGCAGTGAAGAGCAGCTCTCCCGCATATACAGCCAAGCAGCCATGTGCCAATGCATCATCGTGAATGTCGTGTAGTTGCCGTAGGCCTGCATAGCACAGCAATTGCTGAGGTGATCAGGTACGCTTGCAGGCGTGGATCCTGAAGAGGTTGATAAGCATTTTCGGGCGTGCGGCACGCCGTGGGCATGTGCCGAGAGAACTAGCGATGAAGAAGATCTATGAAGCTGCGGGTATCCCGCTGCCTGAGAGTGTCCCTCATGCATATATGTTCCTGTTGCTCCGTTCTTCTAGCATGTATGACATCGATATGTATGGCATAGTCAACATACCCGAGGAACTGCAGATGATGATGATTCCTCTTGTGAGAAGGGCGAGGATGATGGCTCTAGCAGTGAGAGTGAGGAAGTCGAGTCGGAGTCTGACTTCAGCGAGGACCCAATGTATTGAGCAAAATCGATAAACTCCAAACCGGCCTAAATCCTTGAAGTGTAGCACCCAAACTTAGGCTTAATCCTCCCAGGCCTTCCTAGGTGAAATATTAGCTTAGTCACCCCGGGCGTTAAGGATGAACGGGAATCGAAGTGACGCGTGTAAGTACTAGTTTCTGATCTGCAGTACAGTCAGGACGAGGCAATGCCGATTTGCGATGAAAAAAGCTCCTGGGCTTCATTCCGAGAACCTCGATACCGCAGAATCCTTAAACCTAAACCCCTCAACCCCCATTGAGGGCATGAGATCAAGCCTCATCCAGGTTCCCATCCGGTGGATGCCTTGGAGGACAACGAACAGGGATCAACGGGTTGTGATGAAGCGCTACGATTATCCTCTGCGAGCCTGAGTTCTTCCGATAATCCCTGGGTGATTTCAGAGAGAAGTGCAAGCATCACACCGACCGAGAGATTGTCCCCTGTGTCTGCCTCTGAGCCTACTTCCAGCAACAGAAGCTTGTATGCAATTTCCTGTGCATCCTGCAAAGAAACACAGAAATAACCCCAAACCTATCCGAGGACATCGCACGCTTCCGCCGGTGCCCAACTTCAATGATGCCTCGGTGTGTGAGACGATTGCAGCCGAGCTGGCGCAGCAAGAGGCTGTGTTAGAGCAGTTGCAAATCATGGAGCAGCTATATGCCGAGGAACTTGAATTGGGCAAGTTACTCTCTAGATTGGAGCTGGAGGATAAGCCCGAACCCCTGCCAATCTCCAAGACAGCACCCAGCTACTCAGCTACATTCGTGAGAATATACATACATGGCATGCAAGCATGACATGGAACACGGGGTGTGTGTATATATGCACACTGATTCATCCCAGGTCCCGATGAGCTGGAGACGCTTCCAATGGTTTGGGATGATCCCTCCCATGGGGGGTGGGCTCCTCCGGTTGAGCCCCTGCTGGAGGATGCTTCCAGGCTAGAAGCTGACAGCTGGAAAGAGCTCGGCTTGCACCCGTACGATGATGAAGAGTGCGAGGAAAAGCCCAAGCTGCAGCGAGCGGTGCAAATTGATCCAGGGGCTTGTGAAGCCATGGTTCGAGCTCCAGCTACAGCTGCCGAAGCTCCTGAGCCCGAGGACTCCAATCCAACAGCGACGGTGGGCGATGTTGATATGGATGGTGTCGCAGCAAAGCCGAGTGCTCCTGATTCCGAGGCCTCCGATCCAACAGCTATGGACGATGTGGCATCAAATGATGATGCAGCACCTGAGGCTGAGTCCTCCAATCCTGTTGCGGATGGTGTCGCAGCAGAACTGAGTGCTCCTGAATCCGAGCCCTCCGATCCAACAGCTATGGCAATGGACGATGCTGCCGCTGATGGTGCCGAAGCACCGAGTGCACTGGCGGCCCCTGCCTGCTTGCAGAAACTCCGGGCAATTTCCCCGGCTGAGCAGTCAAAGCTTGTGAAGCCGGACAAGGATCCGAACGGTCGCGGTAGAAGCCGAGGCCGTGGGCGTGGGGGCCGTGGACGTGGCCGAGGAGGTCGTGGCAAACCTGAGCCTGTGGCATGCGATAGGAGTGACGAGGAGGAGCATTCAGAGCATGATTCCGAGGATGAGATGGCTACCGAGGTCCCGGAGACCAAAGGTGCGAGTGCAACTGCGAAAAGCAAAGCCTTGCCCAAGCGAAAGGCCGCAGCCAAAAAGAAGCCGAAAGCCAAGTCTGCCTCGAAGAAGGCTGTGGCTGACGAGGATGATGACGGGGCCACCAGTGGAGAGGATGATGGCTCCAAAAAGCAGATCAAGCGACGATGCGCCGAGGACGGGAAGTCTTCTGCAGCCAAGAAGGTCAAGCGCGCCATGGTTGCAAGCGAGGAAGACTCCGCCGAGGCAGACTCCTTTGAAGCTGGTTTTCGCTGTGTGGGGGGCGATCCAAGCCCAGCATCGAAGAGAACGGCAATCCAGAAGGCCGGCGGCAGCCGACGGCCAAAAAGCAAGTCCGCCAAGAAGCTTGGCAAGGATGGTGATCGCGACAAGAAGCCGGACAAGGCTGGTGGTTGCGACAAGAATCCGAGCAAGACCAAGGGTGGTGATTGCAACAAGAAGCCGAGCAAGACCAAGGGCGGTGATTGCGACAAGAAGCCGAGCAAGACCAAGGCTGGTGATTGCGACAAGAAGCCGAGCAAGACCAAGGGTGGTGATTGCGACAAGAAGCCCAGCAAGACCAAGGGTGGTGATTGCGACAAGAAGCCGAGCAAGACCAAGGCTGGTGATTGCGATGCGGATGAGAAGGACAAGGCTGCCGAGACAAAGGCTAGATTGTCCCGGAAGAGTTGTGCGTATCACAAGGCACGAGCGGAGGCCAAAGCAAACGGAGCCAGTGATGAGCAGGCCAAGGAGGCTGCTAAGAAGGTTCCCTGCCATGTGTTAGCTACTACGTGGTGTCCTGTGCATTTCGGGTTTTCAAGATATACACACACACACACACACACACGCACGATCTCGCTCGATCTCTCTCTCTCTCTCTCTCTCTCTCTCTCTCTCTCTCTCTCTCTCTCTCTCTCTCTCTCTCTCTCTCTCTCTCTCTCTCTCTCTCTCTCTCCATCTCCCCGGACACCGGGGAACAAAGTGGGGTCACCGGGGAACCTCCTTACTTTAAGGTGTCCGCCCCCGGACACCTTAAATTACATGACAAGGTGCTTAAATCCCACACCCCACCCCGCCCCACCCGACGATCAGAGCGAGCATCATGAGCATCAGCCGGTTCTTGGGGCCTAGGAAAACGGGCCCGGACACCTTACTTTAAGGTGTCCGCCCCCGGACACCTTAAATTACATAACTCTCTCTCTCTCTCTCTCTCTCGCTCTCTCTCTCTCTCTCTCTCTCTCTCTCTCTCTCTCTCTCTCTCTCTCTCTCTCTCTCTCTCTCTCTCTCTCTCTCTCTCTCTCTCGCTCTCTCACTCACTCCGCTTCCTCTTCTGATCAGTTTGCAAACACTGAGGCTTACCGCGAGACCGACTAGATGGTTTACATGGGGAAGGTTTGATCCGATTTATGAAATGGCGATGACACAAGCTTGGCCTTGCAAGTTGGGTTGTCACTTTGACCGCTAAAGCCGGTCGCATTGTGGCAGGGGGTATACACCGTGTGCGTGAATGTTTGCTGCCTGCAAGAGAATGTCTCAGCAGCGTCTCACGTTGTAAGTGCAGTGTACATTATAGAACACATGGTGTGTAATTCGCGCCAGGCTACAGCTAAAGCACAGCCATGCGACCTCGATGCAGTGGGTTCTGCCGAAATGCGTTCTGCATGTGCAATTTATATAGGATTTGGGTCGGTGTCGAATTAGGCTGGGGTGTGCTTAAGCCCTCAGGTCTATTTGGATTTGTGTGTAGGTTTTGTTTCGGGTCCTCTCTTGTCGTTGTGTCACTGAACCCGACCTGAAGCCCTGGAGACCCTACACCTAAGCCTAAGCCCTCAACCCAAACACCAAGTTGATCCCCGTTGTGGCCAGGCCGGTGCCGAAATCTGAGTCCTGGGCGATTCGTGCTGCTATCGCGACAGGAGGCCGGCCAGGACCTTTTGTTCACGAGCAGTGCAGTGCCAGCGGAAGTGTACATGCTCTCCTTGCATGATGTGTACGCTGCAGCTTTCAAGCAGGTGTGGGAGATATGACTGCCAACTGCATGTGTTGCATATATGTTGCATTAACATAGCATATATTTACGGAACCTTACATCACCGCATGCCTTAACTTTGCTCATCTTTCTTCACCATGGATGGGATTCGCTCTGAGTCCATTGTTGTCAACCTGATACAAGCAGGTGCCCCGAAGGCCGGAGTGACCTGTGTGTGCATGGTTGTGGTCTTGCAAACATATACACTGTCAATCCGTTCTTGTAGACTGCTATCCACCATGCAGATCTTCATCGGGATACTCCTTCTGATTATATGGTCACAGAACTTGCCGATGCCGACCCCTCGATATTCCTTCTTTGACCTGTTTGCCGGGAAAGCCCAAGCCTCGACAGTCTGGTGCAAAGCTTAATTGGTATGTCTGTCTCTCGAGGTCACTCCCTCTATCGATCTCCCTCTCTCTCTTTTTGTTTCTCTGTTGCTCAACTGCGCCCCAAACCCAAGGAGAAAGGCGGGCCATATGGTGGCCACTTTCGACAAGGCCTTTGAGAACCGTATTCGTGTCATGGATTTTCTCAGTCCTGCAGGCTTTGCGCCGCTGGTCAGTGTTAATACATCTACAGGTACACTTGAAGATCGGTCTAGTGTGTCTGCCGCGATACGGGACCTCTCTCATTTCAGGTTGGTGCTGCACACTATATTGTGTCTCCTACCAGAAGCAGTATGCCTAATGGGACCGGACTGCAGCAGTTGGGGGCTACCGGCACGGGGCACAAGCCAGCGAAACTATATGAACAGCCTGGGTGCGGTTCACTTGAACTTCGTCAATGACTCCAATGTTACTATATCTCGGAAACTTGCATGTTAAGTTACAGGGGTGTGTGTGTGTGTGTGTCTGCATGTGCACATGGTATAGATCCAATCGAGATTGGCACCCAGGGTGGCTTTGGTTTGTCTTCTTCTATGTGCTAGACATTGCTACTTCGTCCTCGAGCACCCATCCCAATCATTGATCGGGCGACATCCTAGATGGGAACGCTTCATGAATGTCATCTGCTGGGTACCACCGCTGCACTAGACTAGACCTGAAAAAACCCTAAACCCCTAAACCCTGTAGACTGCTATCCCAGGTATGGAGGACGAGCTTCTGGATGCAGCTTCATGGGGGTCCTACACCCAAGAGGACAGTCTGTTTCTCAAACGGCTCGTGGATTGGAGGTTTGGATCTTGGCAAGCTAACAAAGAGGGTGCGCCAGAGGGAGACGCAGTTCAAGACCAGCCGCAGGGGTCTTACAGTCTATAGGGTTCATGCAATTCTGTTGGATCATGTCGGTCTGGCTTTGCTGCATCTACAACTTCAGGTCGGTGGACTGCTTCGGATGGAACCAAAAAGTTCCAATGCAACAAGAGGGTCAAGGAAACACAGTGGCAGCCTTTAGTGGACGGGGTGCATGCAAGCTTCCATGTTACGTGCCGTATGTGTGTGTGTAACCGATAGCTATCTAGCCAAGGTCTTACCCTGCTGGCTTTTGCAAACGGTTGCTGCAGTGCTACAACACACGGGGGCTTCCACCAGCGGATCTGCGACACAAACACCCAGTGGATTTGTCTTTGTCAGACAGAATGCTGTGGGAGGAGATGCCTATTGGGGATATCTGGCTTGATGCACAACTCCCTAAAGTATGGACATACCTCCTGAGCAACCGGCATCTGAAGGTTCCCGACAGCTGGCAGAAAGCCGTCAAGGCCTTTGACAAAGAGCTCACGGAGCTTGAAGCTTGGTGTGATGGTCAGTTTGGGGCCGAAGGTTTATGAATCTATACTACGGCTGCTACTTCTACTACTACTACTACTACTACTACTACTACTACTACTACTACTACTACTACTACTACTACTACTACTACTACTATACTACGCACTATATACTAAAACTACTACTACTCGATGCTGCTGCTGCTGCTGCTACTGCTGCTACTGATGCTGCTGCTACTGCCACTATATATATGTATATATCTACTACTACTACTACTACTACTACTACTACTACTACTACTACTACTACTACTACTACTACTACTACTACTACTACTACTACTACTACTACTACTACTACTACTAGCTACTACTACTACTACGACGACGACGACTACTAACACTACTACTAACTATATTATATACTACTTCTACTACTATATACTGTTGATGAAAAAAATCCTGCATTACCTTAAGGACCCAGAACTATGCATGATATACTCCTTATTATGGGTCTTGCAGGATTCATATCATCAACCGTGCTACTACTACTACTACTACTACTACTACTACTACTACTACTACTACTACTACTACTACTACTACGACTATAATACTTCTTGGGACAATTTCGAGGTTCGGCTTTCAGGTCATCTGAGGACTTACGGGGTTGTCTGAGGAGCATATTAGAGGCCCGAAATCTCCCAATTCCCACAAAACGTACCTAGCTCCCATTATTAATCCTGTAGCCCCATACCTCTGCCTTGACAGTTTGCCGCATAGAAATCCAGACCCCGACTGAACCATAAAGTTCCCCAACAATAGGAGGCTCCCCCGAACTTCCTTACCTCTAGGCCTCTCTTTTCATGGTTGGTGTACTTTTGGGGGCTTTCAGGGCTTTAGGGTTAACCTTTCAGAGAGAAAGACCCTTCTGGACCTCAGGCCACCTAAGGACCCCAAGCCCAAACCCCACACCCACCTAGCCCTAGTGTCCCCCGCCCCAAAGCAGAGCCCACTCTGTCTCAGGTTTCCATCCCGGAGCCGGGCCGTGCAGCCTACAATGGTCTGGTGCAAATGGATACAGCTGGCTCTTTGTGATCTCGGGGCCTGGTTTCAGGTTTGGGCATAATTAATCTAGGTGCGCGTTTTTACTCATTTTGAGGCCGGGGAAACGCGCGCAATTCAGCGCAAAATGCGCGCAAATCGGCGCAAAAAAGCGCAAACGGGCGCAAACTCAAAAAGTGTATCGAATGGTTTTAAGATTTCACTCTGTGAAGCGTTCTGGTGGCAACTCGTGGTGTCTGAGCCGGCCTGTTGTCACGTGAATGGGCCGTCTTCTGCTAGATCTGGCACTCAGCACCTCTGTGGGTAGAATGTGCACCCGAACGACCTCTTGTAGTACGCTCGCCGAAGGGGTCTCACTAGTTGGGAACCTAGTCCGATCAAACTCTGCGATGGCAGCTCCTCCTACTGATCTCGCAGCCATGATCGCTGCTACTTGCATGAACTAAATACCCGGCCTTAAACCCTAACCCCGAAGCCCCAACTCTGAAGCCCGATGATATATCATTTGCTTTGCCGAGGCCTCTCGAGAACGTATTGCTGCACTGCAAAGCCAGCTCGGCAAGCACCACAGATCGGCAGCGACCGCACCTGCAGCGGTTCCAGGATCATGCGTTTAGCCGAGTTAGGATTCCTAGATCGGGCTTCTGATGTTATCGTGCTTGAACACATGTGTGTGAGCAGGAGCACCTGCCATTGCTTCTGCTGGTGGTGTATTTGTTGCCGGCAATGCTACCACCCAGCCAGAGGAGACCCTGATCGATACCCAGAACGAAAAACCAATCGTTCCAAGAGCGCTTTCTTTCGATAGTGCTTGGAGGGCGGATGAACTGGAATCCCCGCCTCCACCCAAGGATTCCCAGCCCGTGGACTCCAAGCCACCACCTGAGTGCACCGCAGAAGGCAGCAAGCCCACGCCGACTCTGGCAAACCAGTGCAGCCCCAGCAAGGCCAATCCAAGCCCGAAGAAGGTGAAGCACAGCCCGAAGAAGTCCAAGCACAGCCCTTTGAAGCCCAGCCCAAAGAAGTCCAAGCACAGCCCTTTGAAGCCGAGCCCAAAGAAGTCCAGGCACAGCCCTTTGAAGTCCAGCCCAAAGAAGTCAACCCCCAAGAAGGCTACGGTGGAAGGAGAAAGCGACTCTCCACTCAGTACACCGGCCTCTGCCTTGTCACGGGGTGCAAGTACCGCTACTCTGGGAAGCAGATCATCAGGCAAGACTAGGTCAAGCAGCAAGTTTGACAAGTACTACCACCAGAACCTACAATGCACTAATTTGCGCCGATCGGTTCCTTTCAATCCTGCCACTCCGATGCTCCTGTACTCTGAGGATGAGGCGTACGTGCAAGCCCACCAACGGCCCGACAAAGGCGTCCAAGGAAGCCCTGCAGCTCTGGGGTTCGGAGAGTGGAAGATGCTTGTCTCTGTGTCTAACGGTTCATCTTGTCTGCTGAACATGCACACATTCATTCGGGAAGTTGTGTGCAATCTTAGGGGAGAAGCTTCGAAAGCTCCTGATCGAGAAGGGTACCTTCAAGGAGGTTGAGCTTCACCTGGCTAAGTACAAGAGCCATGTCGAGAAGGATGCCACGAAGGGACGTTGGGTGACCAAGGCATATCTTATGGAAAAGTGCGGCTACACAAGGTTGCTAGGTTGCAGCCTCACTTCCAAACCCCATAAACCCTAAACGATTTAAACCTAAACCCGACCTATGTCATTGCCCTTTTGCACCGAACCAGAACCACAAGGTTTAGATCCACAGGGCTTTTTCGACAGAGTTGGCTTCTAAAGACGTTTACAGACTTTTAAAAACTTTCAAATGCAAGAAAAAACATTCTAAAAACTTTTAGAAGACTTTAAAAGACTTTTAGAAACTTTTAGAAGACTTTTGCAAACTTTAAAAGACTTTTCAAAACTTTAAAAGGCTTTTAAAATATTTAAAAGACTTTTAAAAACATTAAAATACATTTAAAAGCTTTAAAAAGACTTTAAAAGACTTTTAAACGCTTTTAAAAGCTTTTACAAACTTTAAAAAGAATTTGAAAGACTTTTAAAGACTTTAAACAACTTTTAAAAATTTTTAAAAACTTTAAAACACACACAAAAAAAACTAATTTTTTAATGTTTTTTCCGAGAAGACGAGGATGAAGAAGACCTGGCACAGGGTTTACAGTTTCAGGGTCTTTAGGGTTTGGGGTTAGAAGGCAGAGTGCCATAGTATTAGGGGTTTGAGGGTAATGAAAGGGTTAGGGTTAGAGTTTCAGGGTCTTTATTATATTTAGGGTTTGGGGTTAGAAGGCAGAGTGCCATAGTATTAGGGGTTTGAGGGTAATGAAAGGGTTAGGGTTAGAGTTTCAGGGTCTTTATATATTTAGGGTTTGGGGTTAGAAGGCAGAGTGCCATAGTATTAGGGGTTTGAGGGTAATGAAAGGGTTAGGGTTAGAGTTTCAGGGTCTTTATTATATTTAGGGTTTGGGGTTAGAAGGCAGAGTGCCATAGTATTAGGGGTTTGAGGGTAATGAAAGGGTTAGGGTTAGAGTTTCAGGGTCTTTATTATATTTAGGGTTTGGGGTTAGAAGGCAGAGTGCCATAGTATTAGGGGTTTGAGGGTAATGAAAGGGTTAGGGTTAGAGTTTCAGGGTCTTTAGTATTTAGGGTTTGGGGTTAGAAGGCAGAGTGCCATAGTATTAGGGGTTTGAGGGTAATGAAAGGGTTAGGGTTAGAGTTTCAGGGTCTTTAGTATATTTAGGGTTTGGGGTTAGAAGGCAGAGTGCCATAGTATTAGGGGTTTGAGGGTAATGAAAGGGTTAGGGTTAGAGTTTCAGGGTCTTTAGTATTTAGGGTTTGGGGTTAGCAGGCAGAGTGCCATAGTGTTAGGGTTTGAGGGTAATGAAAGGGTTAGGGTTAGAGTTTCAGGGTCTTTAGTATATTTAGGGTTTGGGGTTAGAAGGCAGAGTGCCATAGTATTAGGGGTTTGAGGGTAATGAAAGGGTTAGGGTTAGAGTTTCAGGGTCTTTAGTATATTTAGGGTTTGGGGTTAGAAGGCAGAGTGCCATAGTGTTAGGGTTTGAGGGTAATGAAAGGGTTAGGGTTAGAGTTTCAGGGTCTTTAGTATTTAGGGTTTGGGGCTAGAAGGCAGAGTGCCATAGTTTTAGGGTTTGATAGTATTAGGGATGCACAAATCGCGTGAAGTGGCTACGAACTGCTGGATGTTGCGCTTTTCTGCGTTGACCACACTGTCAAGCGAATCACGTGCAGGCGAAGCAGGGTACAGCTGGGTGACGCGACAACGTCTGGCACTCTGCCTTCCCAGCTGCTGGCACTCTGCCTTCCCGCCTCAAGATCCATTAATTATTGCCATTTGGAATTCATCCCAACTTTGCACGAAGCTGGTCGGTCAAAGGTATTGCTCCAGCATCAAGGTCAGGAAGTTCCCCCGGACCACCGAGACGGATGGCAACAAGTGAGAGGGGTTTCATCTGAAGGACAAACTGCCGTTGTTGTTCATCTTCGTCGTTCCAAACATAAACAAAATCACAAACGAGAGAAACGCGCGGCAACTCCAGCGGTTCTTCTCCTTCACCCACCTGATAACACTTCGGGAAGGGGCCTTCGTACCGTCGAAGAAGCCTGAGGCCTCCTGTAATGCGGGAGCCAATACGTGGCCAGTAACGCAGGTAGCGAACCATGATTTCCCAAGGCACGTCGTCATAAACTTCCTTCCATCTCTCAGCTGGTTTCCACTGGTCAGGCGCTTTGGCCAATTTTTCGCAAGCGGTTTTGATCAAGATTGGGGAGAGCTCGCCTCTGAAGAAACACTCTCCTCGTTCGATCGGGGCGAAATGCATTGCTCTGGACGGCTACTGTTCAGTCACAAGCACGCACGGCTTCAAACCACATGTGCTAGTTTGTGCGGCTTCCGGGTTGTGGCACTCGAAATGATTGTCCATGTGCTTGCACGTGACAAATTCCACATGTGTGAAAATGCGAACATGCTTTCGCAATCCGTCTTCCCCAAGCAGAAACACACAGTCTCTCGGACGCATTCCAATCTAGCATGACCCGCTGCCATCAATGCAAGCACACAGACAGACACACAACTTTTCTTTGCAGCGCAGGATGAATCCTCTAGTTGTTGCCAGGCCTCCTGGTCGGGCCACAACAGGGCCTATGGTCAATGACGTGTTGTCTGGCCTGCGCTTCGGTCATCTTGGAAGCCACACGTCCCCAGTGATAGGGTACGAGGTGGCTCCACTCGCCTTCAATGCCAGACACACATGGGTTCATGTAATGTGACACAACACACAGCAGATCAGGCAACCACATCGAAGCTATAACAAATGTTCCGAATCTTTCCAAGAGACCGCCGTCTGTCACACGAACTCGGAGAAACCATTTTGCTTTGTCATTGCCACCAGGATTCGGGTCGTACTTCATCTCACCAGCGATCTTGGGACACTCCGGGCATTGAACAGGTGTCCATACCCCTTGGTAGTCAACACGGTTCGGCCGCCGCTGATGTTGGGGGCCACGGACTGCAACCTCCCGTGTCTCGAGTGCTGGGATAGGCACTGCAGGCACCTCCGGCATCTCAGCAGGAGGGGCTGGCACTCTGCCTTCCTCGGGCTCCACGTGATCATCAGGCTCTGGGACAGGGATTGCAGCAGGCACCTCCGGCATCTCAGCAGGAGGGGCTGGCACTCTGCCTTCCTCGGGCTCCACGTGATCATCAGGCTCTGGGACAGGGATTGCAGCAGGCACCTCCGGCATCTCAGCAGGAGGGGCTGGCACTCTCCCTTCCGCGGCCTCCACGTGATTATCAGGCTCCGGCTCCACCGGCACCTCAGCAGGAGGTGCTGGCACTCTGCCTTCTGCTCCCTCTTGACCACTTTCATCAGGAGGCGCGGGTTGCTTCCTGGGCAACATACGTGGGCGACAAATCTTTCTCTTGGCTTTCCGTTTGGCCTGTGGCTTGGCCTTTGCTTTGGTCTTTGCTTTGGCCTTGCCCTTTGCCTTGGCCTTTGCTTTCTGCGTCTTGATGGCCTGCCAGGTTTGATGCACCCTTTTGATTCTGCGTTTTCTGACTGCGTCTGAGACCATTTTAAATTCCTGTTTGTCCTCAGCAAGCAGGTCGTCAAGAACCAGCTCATCAACAAAGTCCCCCATGATAATGTCATCCTCATCCTCATCCTCTGTTGAATCTTTGGCTGTCGAATACATAGCCTCATTTTTGCGCATGAAATCCTCATCTTCCGGAAGGTGATGAGAAGCGATCAGGCTCATGAGCTTTGGACGGCGCATTCGTTGCAGCTCCTTTCGCTTTTTTCGTCTACGTTTCCAGTCTGGGAGATCACATGCTCGGCGAGATTCTGGCAGTCTGCGAGAGTCCGACATGCTTGTGACATTTCCCTCAGTCGAGTCAGCAAAAACAAGCACAGCAAAACTTATATAAGTTTATTGTACTATTTACTGTATGGGTCTACAGTTGACAGAATCCTAAATGAAAACATGTCACTTGGGATGCTGCAACATATAGGATAGAAGTGACACTGAGCTTGTAGCACAACGACGGAGGCAAATGAAGCCATTCCAGAAGACTGCCTCTGTTTCGATTACTTCCCAATACTGGGGCTCATACAAATGAATCCAGCAGGCCTTGACGCTGGAACCATCCGGGCACTCTGCCTTCAAAACAAAATATATCTCTCCTGTCGACTGGTCCTCATGCTGGACCACTGGCCACATGAGAGCAGCCCAGGTTTTTGCCCCAAGAGAGAGATAGCATGTCCAATCCAAGACATGGTTCAAGATCTTCAAAGGGGCTGCAAGGCTGCTAAACTTCCCAGCACGCAAGGGAACATGCTGAGATGCCAGTCTTGCATCATTGTAGTGAATTAGCCATGACCACTCAGCTGATGCTCGTTCGAGTGTCTCTTCTGACAGGGTGTTCCATGTCTTGTCGCCGACAATCTCGGTATACTGTGACGGCAGCTTGTGGACACATCCTCTGAAGCACAACTTTTGGCGCTTCCTGTCCACATTCCAAAACTCCCTTTCAAAATATTCCCGTTTGACTTTTGCCGGATCCCTGATTGAACGGCTTTCAAAGACGTTTGAATTCTCGATCACAGTTTGAATCGTGGAGTATGTTTGCTTGCGGGTTTTGTTCAACAAAGAATCATTACGAATCTTGTTGTGCACATCTTCCACAATCTTGTTGTCTGGCATCGTCTGCACCAGAACACTCAGCAGGTGGGTTGCAGGGCATGCTGGTACCGATATTGTTACAGTCCTTTGAGCTGGCACTCTGCCCTCTTGCCCGTCTAACAAAATGTCACCAACTCCGGCACCGTCATCTGCTTCTTCAGGCACAGAATCCTCCATCTCCCCGTCCTGCTCTGTTTCAACATCATCCACGACAATGTCTTCTGACCCCGGAGGCGCCACTTCATATCCCTGTGCCTCCAATGTGTCCAGAAAAAGTCTCGAAGGATGGCTGATTCCAACTTGCAGGTCTGTGAAGAGTTGCCGGGCATGAACACTTGGAGTGGCCCGTGCCAATGTCGACTCCAACCTCAAGAGTGATGTGTGATGGCCCTTTGCCTTCAAAGCCGTGATCGTCCGAATTTCTGCATCAGGTGACAGCAATCCCGCATAGGCATCTGGTGGAAGTGAAAAAAGACTGCA